TCACTCATTCACTCATTCACTCACTCACTCACTCACTCACTCACTCCATTCACTCACTCACTCACTCACTCACTCACTCCATTCACTCACTCACTCACTCACTCACTCACTCACTCACTCATTCATCACATCCAAGTAAAAATCTGTTTATATTTTATTTTTGAGCCATACATTCATTTATTTACTTACTTTATTAATTTACTTTTTTATTCAGTCACTCATCACATCTAACTAAAAGCTGTTTACATGTTATTTTTCAGACATTTATATCAAACTCAAATCTGTTTAGATATTATTTTTGTTCAGACAACAGAAAATCTAAATAAATGTTCTATGTTTAATCAGGCAGCACATTATTTTCAAAACTTTATTTATTACTTAATTTACAAATTATGTTTGTGTCAGTTTGGGAATTTACAAAAAAAAAAAATTAATTAGAGTTTAGAGTTTCATTCATTCATATTTTATTCATATTTTTTTTTCTCCATCCCCATTTTTTCCCCAACTGGTCCTAGCCACATTTGTGGTTTAAAGTCATTTTAGAAAGCTTTTCCTTTATTTATTTTTATTTTATTTCTTTAATATTTTATATATATATATTTTTTTTTTTGTAGTTTTATTTTTTTTCTTTTAATTAATTTGTGATGCAACATTGTATGCTTTCAAATACACAGTGCAACAGCAAAAGTAACTAGACTTGTAATATTTGACGTAATTTTACTTCAATCTACTTTTTATTGCAAATGCAAAAAAAAAAGTCTGTATTCTGCAACCCAAATTCCGAGTAACTTGACATTTTTTTCTACTCATGTCTCTCTGCACACATTTTGTTTGTTTGTTTTAGATTTTAAAGGGGAATGAAAACGTTTTTTTCCATACATTATTGATGGCAGATTTAGCACACAGTGCCGTATCGTCCTGGTTCAGTGCGAGTTCAATACCAGACAGGCATCTTTCAGCTGTGCTTATGTAACGGGGTCGGTTGGTCTCAGACTGGGGTCAGATGAGATCATCCCTACAGTGTCTCTGTCCCTGACGGCCTGGACACACTCATGTGGGGACGCGGGATTGATTTGACGCATTCAGTGGACGGGTGCTCAGTGAGCCTCACAGACATGAAGCACCTCTGAACTGTGCAAGTGCAGATTCACTGCTGGAGTCAGTGAGATAAATGCATGATGAAAATAGTTTCTGTTTGAGTGAATCCAGGGATTCTTTAGCAGTGCTTAATAAGGCAAGCATAACATTGCAACAGCTTTTGGTTGGTTAAAGAGATGGAAATGGGATGAGGATAGGAAGTTGAGGAAGCGAGCTAATAAAGTAGCATCATTTTTCATCTGTTGAATCATGTGTTTGAAGATGCCCTTCAACCTAAATCATCATCTGATAATTGTCATCTTGAGTTTTTGCTAAGGCGGTTCATTCGCGGGTCACGATCTCAAGGCTGGTGGGATGCATGTTCTACTGAAACAACAGTTGCTGATGGAGGAAATTAGGCTCAGAAATGACGGTGCTTATGTAACCTGATGGACACTTTGTCCGCTTGCATTAACAACGCATTGAAGGTGTGCTGACAAAGCATCTCAATGTTGTGAGTGTTTTTGTTTGAATTAGACCAGCATGAAATATTCATGACAAAACTTGCCAAGCAGTTCACACATTTAATCTTTGTTGAACAGTGGCGTCTTTGAATGGCCAAAGCATGGGAAGAGTTTGCATCACTTCTTCACTACTTTGGTGGAATGTTCTGAATTCAATGTCGTTTCACTTCTAGCAACAACATCTGTGAAAGTATCATATGTTTGTTTTGATTCCAGAGCATTGCTTTAAGTCTTGTATTTATTTGTTTGTTTGTTTGTTTATTTAAAAATAAATTAATCATAATATTTTTATTATTATTTAGTATTGGTACAAAATACTGATATATATTTGTTATAATATATTGTTTTTGTTATTGTTATTAGTAATGGTAGTATTGATAATATTAACATTATTCATTTATAACAACAACAACATTTTCCTCTGAGCTGAGTCAAGGGTTTAAAACAATGTTTTCTGGTCATCTGGCATTGTTCTATTTTAGTTTATTCATTATTTTTTCCTCTGTCACTTTTCGTTCTCTGATTGGAGCACTCTTTAAAAAAAAATCCATGAAAATATGGCTTGAAGGAGTTTTCTGTAATTATTTTTTACAGGTGTTTTGTTTTTAAATTTTACATGGCATTGCCTTGTCTTTTAGATTTCATATTTTAAAAAATTGTGTCCGTAAAATGTATGTATAATGTTCCGGTAATGAGCTGCCAGGACCTTTTCTGTTATTTTACGCATTGATTTCTTACAGTGAGGAATGATGTTGTCTTTCTGGTGAGTCATGCACAGGCACATGTTGCTGTGGCAGGAAATGCAACAACAAAGACAATTATTTATTCAGATTCGAACATCACATATTTAGAGACATCTAACAGTATATATTCAACACAGACAACAGGTGAAGATAAAAACTGCATGTAAGAGGAAAAATAAACTGTTTAGGCATATCATCCATATGCAAATCTGTGCCTCCGATAATACTGATATAGTCTGGAAATTTCCAGACTGATTATGTTACCCAAAAAGACTTTCATAAAAAGATACGATAGATGTGCGCACTCTCTGAAATGGTGTGTGCAAATGAATGCTCATTAAGCCCTTCCTCATTTTGCATGCCTGTAGCCTCAGGGATGATAGTAGTGTGTCACTATCAGAGGGAGGAGGGAAGAAAAGATGGATGCAGAGAGGACAACGTGGAGAAAACGAGAGAGGCAGAGAGGAAGGAGGGAGCTGGTTTTGGAGCAGCAAATGAACAGCCACATTACGAGGCATGTGATTCCTGCCATGGCAAAAGGCTGGCTGATAGAGAGAGAGAGAGAGCGAGAGAGAGAGACGCTTCCAGCCAGATCTCAGTGCTGCTTAGTCTGCTGTTGTGTGTAGAAGCAGCAGAAAAGGTTAGGTTGTGAGGTTACGAGACAGTTACGTTTTAACACAGGAAAAGGACTAAGACACAAAAACACCGTTGTGAGGTTACAAGACCGTTACGTTTTAACACAGGAAAAGGACAAAGACACAAAAACACCCAAACCAGAAGCAGAGACAGGGGAACAGAAGCATGTCCTCTCTCTCGAACCAACAACCAACGTCTCCGTTCTCAGAATATAGTGAGCTATGTAAAGTCCCATCCATGTCCACATCCGCCACCCCTCCGGGATGGGACTGGCAGCATGGAGACCTCGGGGCACCGCCGAGTTTCGGAGGTGGCCTTCGAGCAACGGGGATGACGGATGAGGACAAGCTATGCTTCTACGAGTCTTCTTCTGAGCTCAACGTCCCCGGGCGAGGAGCCGTTCCAATAAGCGTGTCATTTGGCAGCACCGGGGACAGTCCGGAAAGCCTCTCGTCCTCGTCTCCATCAGCTGTGTCTCCTGGAAGATTCGCAGCTTGCACTGCGGACAACAATGGCATGATGCTTCTGGAATCACCTGCGGGACACGAAGAAGTTCTGTCGCCTCTCGAACCCTCGAAACCGTCTCCGTTCTCCGGATTGCTTCCGGAAAAGAGTCCCAGCACACTGTCGCCCCGAACACCTCCAAACTACTGCGTCATTGGCGTGGTCAACGATAGTTACCTGGAGAGCAAAGACGAGCGGCCGAAGGCTGATGGGTCGTCACATGAAAGCGAGGAAGAGGAAGACCTTGAGCCTTGCTTAATGGGAAGAGCCGAGCAACAGAGGAAGGCGATGAGGCGAGCGATGTCCGAGTGTTCGCACCTTTCCGTACCTGCTAGTCTCGTGCTCCCGGATAAGTATCCCGGTGGAGACGTTCTTGACAAGTTGCCTTCGCCTATCGGAGGACCTCGTCGCCAGCATGCAGGGGCTATGAAACGCTCTCTAACTGTAGCCGACGATCAACCTCCAACCCCGCCACCAATCCTATCTGCCACTCGCAACGACCTACGGAATGATATCGAACTACATTTCCCCCCTTTCCCCGCACGCAAAGACCAAAGCAGCTTTCCCCTCTCGCCCTTGGATGACCTGCTGGAGGGACCATTCATTGACAACGACCAAGGAGTCGTTCTACCCGTGCCGGTGACAACACGTGCCCTTAATGGGACTTACAACAATGCTGGAGACAAAATCGACACGATTGCTGAGGCGTTTGATGGTAGGTGATGGCGAAGCGAGAGCTAGTTTTGAGCTGTAGGATACAGACCGGCTTTTATTGGTGAGCAATGTGATCAAGAGAAGCATGGCATAATTATTCTTAGAAACAAAGAAATTAAGGTTTGGAAAGCATGTTTCAATGGTTTTTGCAGTGATGCCATTGAAGAACCATTGGAGTTATTAAAACAACCGTTTTTTTCTTACACTCTTAAAAATAATGGTTCTTTATTGGCATCCATGGTTCCATGAAGAGCTATTAACATGCATGAAAAAAATGGTTGTTTTGGAACTAAATGGAACATTTTTCTTTTATGCATTGATAGTAAAGATTCTTCATGGAACCATGGATGCCAGTGAGGAACCTTTATTTATAGTGTTATTTGTGTATAAAATTAGATTCATTGAGTCAATAAGATGATTCATCAAAAGAAGCATGGCATAATTGTTCATAGGAACAAAGAAATTAAGGTTTGGAAAGTATGTGCTGATGTATTTCATTCTTAAAGGCTCTAAAAGGTTTTTTTTTTTGCAGTGATGCCATATAAGAATTATTTTGGGTTTCTCAAAGAACCTTTAGTGAACAGTTCCTAAAATAACTTTCTTTTTATTAATAATCTTAAAAATAAAGCTTCTTTATTGCCATCTTTTGCACCTTTAACATTCTTCACACTAATAAAAAATGGTTCTTTTGGAATAAAATGTAACCTTTTTCCAGTATGAAGAACCTGTTGTGCATTGATGCAAAAAAGGTTCTTCATGAAACCATGGATGCTAATAAGAAACCTTTATTTTTAAAAGTGCATATAATTGGGTTTATCGAGTCAGTATGATGAGACATGAGTCCTAGACTGCGTCTTTCTGATGGGTAGCGGTGGCAGAAGTAGGTGATTTATGTGGTGTCTCTGTTCTGTGTGTACGGCACTATCACGCCACTGCCAACGCATGCTCATTACCCGCTCCAGATGAGCAGCCGACAGTAAGTCATTTCTGTCCTGATTTCCTAGAGTAAAACCTGCCCCTCAGCAAATCCAGGTCAGAAACTCATCAACCTGCACCGCATTTTTAATGATGGGTAGAGCTCCAGAAATGTCCTGCTGCACCCTACAACGGTTAACGCTTACGAGTTTAGTTTTTTGTTGAAATAGTAATTCACAGGAGGGGCATGCGTGTAAATAGTCTAGTTTAATCCCTCAATTGTCTTCTGGCTGGTTGACAGATAGTGAAAATGCATTGTAGCAAATGTCTGAATGTAACATGTTTCCTGCCTCAAAGGAGAGGAAACAAGAGATAAAATCACTGGTGCAATGTCTGTGATAAATGGAAAAGCAGGTGTAGATAATATAAAGTGTGGATTAGTGCTAATGATGGTGAGTCATGGATGGATGCTTGTTGCACACTAGTTTCCTGTTTGCAGTTATTAATGCAGGATGTTTGTGATTTCTTGTAATAGTTGGGGTTGATTTGGAGTCTGGGTAGTTTTTAGTAAAGTGGGAGTGTCTGGAGGTGGGCGTTACCGAAGATCATGTGATCTGCGTGCATGACAAATCACATTGAATTCACTAGACTTGCTTTTAGAGTTTGAACATTTAACAAAGACGACAGCAGTACTTGAACTGACGGCTGTTATATTATCCAAAAAAGTTGGCAAAAAAAAGGTCTAAATCCATAATGAAGTTGAATTTGAGACGCTTTGCATCAGTTATCCTATTCAAAAACATCAAAGTAAATGAGAAGCATTGTGAAAAATACGGTATCTGCAATCCCAGAAGGATTTGGTTTATCAATGGACACACAGAAACTGAAGGTAATTTTCTCTATCGTTTTTGCAGAGGTTGCTTCACAAAGTAGATCTGTGAAAACTAGTCCCATCAGGCTACTATCTGTCTGTTTTGTAGGTGTCTTCACATTTATAGACGGATTTTCTTCATTTTGAGCAGGTGCTGTTCTGCATTTCTCGCTGACATGCACTCAGCAGTTTCTCATCTGCTTTGATGTGTCGCTGTGAAACTCCTGTCTTTGTTATTATAAATGTGGAAATTTATCCCCATCCCACAATCAGCTTAATGCAAGAGTTCTTAGTCGACTCAATGCATAGATATTTCTTACAAATAGCTGAAATCCACGCTCTGCTTTGCACTGCTTTGTGGTGACAGATTCATTTTAATACAGGATGCATGCTGGGAAGCAGCTTACATGTGCAAAAGAAAAATGCTGCTGGAATATCAACGATGTCTGATTTTATTTATTTATTTCATGCTCACTAGATTTAATATTCAGTGCAAAATGTGAAATAAATATGCAAATGGACTCCTTTTTAAACCAGTTTCTTGACAAATGAAATATGTTTATGACAGAACCAGATATCTGTGCAGGGTTTATAGGAGCAGATTTACCAGTAACACTACAATGAAGTCCCAACTATACATTAACAATGAGCAATGGATTTATTAGGCTAATCTGTATTAATGGTAGTTATTTTTAGTTCATGTTCAGGTCTATTAAATTATATTATCAGATGCATCTTTTGATTTTAATAATGTATTCAAATTGCCATTAACTAATATTAATAAATGCTTTCAAACTGTTTTTCATCCGTTACTCTTAACTAATGTAGTTAGCTAATAATGGAATCTCATTGTAAAGTGTTACCTATTTACCTTGCTGTTAAATTTAGTTTTTTTTCTTTAAATGCTTTTCATTAAAAACGGACGGCTATAAATACGCGAGTGAATCAACATCACACTAATGTTCTCTAGCAGATTATAGCATCTAAGGACTAAGGTAAATGGTTTTGCTGAGCACAAATCTAATTTGTGTTTTCTCTGAAACTCTGTGCAGTTGTTAGTCTGCAGCTTTAGCTTTTGTCCTTCAACTCAAGGACACAGGCTTCTCAAAGAGACGAACAGCCTTTGTAATGGATCTGCCATTGAAGGTGAAGTGACCTGTTAGATATATTACACATGGACTCCGGCCAAACTCAAGACGGCGTCTCTTTAGCCTCATAACAGCTCTCTGCTTTAGTCTTCCTTCTCTCAGCCTCATCCGCTCATTCAGCTCTCATTTATCACACGGCTCTCTGGAATACTTGACTCTGATTTGTCAAATTAGAACACATTTTCTCAGTTAAGTGATTTTCTGCATGCTAGTTTCATGTTTCCATTTACACTCCACACACGTTCTTTCTCACATAATAAAATAAAGTACACTCAAATCAATTGGCCTATCCATTTATTTAGTGATTTAGTAAGTCGTCGCACAATAAGCACCACAATGTACCATTACCCAGAAGTGATAGTGAAGTTGACTTTGTGTTCACGTTATACATGGACTGAAGTGGACTCGGATCTCTTTCTTTCTATTTACTTTTAAGCATGTGTCATATACAGATTTTCTTGCATTCATTTGCAGACTTTTGCTGTTGAGTTATCATGATTGTGACCCAAATTGTGGCAGTTCAATCAATTTAAATACAAACATTTTTAAGGTATATTGAGTTTGATGAAACGTTTTGTCTTTAGTCATTGGTTTGGCTTTCTTTTGGACTAAACAAGTTTTTTGGCCATAATTAGCTTTTTTTGCTTTTGTGTATATATTAATCTGTTTTCAACTGTTCAACCTGTTTCTTTCTACCAGAAAACTCTGAGAAGAACAAGCCGGAGGTGAACAAAATGGACACTGTCCAGAAGTTCGATGACTTTAATGTTGTCAGCAAGACGGACAAATATCAGAAGATGGAAACAGTGGAGGAGAAAGACAAAATTGTCCACACGGACAAACAGACAACCAAAGGAGAAAGCACAGAAGCTGTGGACAAAATCAAAGACGTGGATGTGGCTAAATCAGAGAAGGATGAAATCGTTCACAAAGTAGAAACGCCAGTGAAAGTTGAGAAGGTCGAACCTTTGGAGAAAAATACTAAAGATGAGACTGAAAAGGCTGATAAGGTTGAGAAGACCACCGACAAAAACCAGACGACAGAAAAGATTGATTCCTCTCCAAAGATGGAGAAAGAGAAGGTGGAGCCGGTGGAAAAGGTTGAGCTGAAGACGGAAGTAGAAGTGAAAGTAGAGAAGAAAGACGAGGAGAACAAATCAGATCAGAAAGTAGAGAAAGATGAACAGAAGAACAAAGAAGAGCAGGTGAAGGAAGTGGAAAAGGAGAAAGCAGAACAGAAGACCCAAAAAGACAAGACCGAAAAGGACAAAGTAGAACCGAAAGCAGAAAAGACTGAGCCGGCTGACAAGAAACCTGCCAAAGCTGAGAAGGACGAGAAAGCCAAAAAACCAGCTGCTAAACCCTCCGCGGCCAAGCCTGCGGTAACCAACGGTGCACCTGGAAAAGACTTGACTAGTCCTGAGAAGAAGACCAAGGTTTGTGAAAGCTCTCTGTTGTCTCTTCATCCTCCATTGACCTTCCTGCTTCTGCTTCTGCTTCTGCTAATGAGTTTGTTTCTGTTCTTAAAGCATATTAATGCCAAAACCAAACCAGAATTCATTCATCACTTATGTAGGGTTGGGAATCAAGAACATTATTTTATTATTATTTATGTACTATTATAGTTTTCATTGCTATATTGAATTAGCTTTTCTATTTCTATTTTCATTTTTATTTTCATTTAATTTTTATTTTGTTACGTTTTGTCATTTTATTAGTTTATAATACACATTTTTTCCCGTTTTGATTTTAGTTTTATTTCTCATTAGTAATTTATGTTGGGTTGAAGATTGTGAATCAAAAGCAAAACACTGCTATTTTAGTATTATTTGTGTACTATTACAGTTTTTATTAATATATATATATATATGTTATGTTTTTATTATTATGTTATTTTTTAAATATCACTATTTATTTATTTATTTATTTATTGGTTAAGTTTAGTTGTTTTTTTCCAGTTAGTAATTTTATTCCTTATATGTAAACAATAAATAAATAAATACTTACTGTTATTTCACTTGGTTGCCAAGACTATCTAATATTTATATTTTGTTTAAGCCATTTCAGTGACCAAAAAATGTTTTCATTGTTTTAAAGTTATTATCATTAACTAAAACTAAGATTAATTTTCATTCAGGTCCTTTAGTGGCTCAGAAATGAGTTCCTTAACATCAAGGAACTGAAATCAGGACGGTTCCCATCCCTACATGACCATCTAATAAACAGAGTAAACTTAATGTTTACTCTAGATGAAAATTTAGTCTGGACTGAATCTGATCTTGTGCTTTTATCGGCCTGCTCTGCTCATGTCGCTGCTGTTATTATTTGTCCTTATTCTGTTTTTGTTCATCGTTTGCCATCCATCCGTTGGGTTTGCTGTCCATCCATGCAGCCTGTCGCCGGCGCAACCAAACCTAGCTCTGCCAAGCCCCGGCCGAGCTCCGCCTCCAGCGCTACAGCCGTTCCCAAGCGCTCCACCCCTACCTCAGCCGCCAGCGCACCCGCACCCCTCAGCAAAAAAGCCCCTGTACCCAAAGCTCCTGCCCCAGCCGCTGGCACCAAACGGCCCGCCACTGCGTCCACACGACCCTCCACCGCATCCAGCACAGTCACCAGAGAGGTCAAGCCCAAGGTGAGTCTCCATCTGCTGAAGACGACGCCCGAACCCTCTTCCAGACTCAATGCGGCGCTCATCTCTGCAGGGATGCTCTGTTTGTGTGTGCTGTCCATGCGTTTTGTAGCTTTACTGTTGTTTAAACTACTCCACGGTGCAAAAGATTGGGGTTGATTATCAAAAGAGGTCAGCAAGGCTGCATTTATTTGATTAAAAATACAGTAAAATTGTGAAATATTATTGCAATTTAAATTTAAATACAGCAGTTTTCTATGTGAATATCTGTTAAAATAGTGTTTGTGTGTGCTGTCCATGCGTTTTGTAGCTTTACTGTTGTTTAAACTACTCCACGGTGCAAAAGATTGGGGTTGATTATCAAAAGAGGTCAGCAAGGCTGCATTTATTTGATTAAAAATACAGTAAAATTGTGAAATATTATTGCAATTTAAAACAGCAGTTTTCTATGTGAATATCTGTTAAAATAGAATTTATTTCTATGATCAAAGCTGTATTTTCAGCATCATTCCTCCAGTCTTCAGTGTCACATGATCTTCAGAAATCAGTCTAATATGCTGATTTGCTGCTCAAGAAACATTTCTGATTATTATCAATGTTGAAAACAGTTGTGCTGCACAATATTTTTTGTGGAAGCGGTGATACATTTTGTTTTTCAGGATTCACAGATGAACAGAAATGTCAAAAGAACAGCTTTTATTTGAAATAGAAATCTTTTGAAACAAATGTCTTTACTGATACTTGATCAATTTAATGCATCCTTGCTGAATAAAAGTAATGCTTTATGTATCTTGATGTACGTCTACAAAGAAGCTTACTAATATTAGAGCTCCTAAAGTCATAATTATTTGTTATAAATTTTTAGGAAGCTAGAGCTAGAAATTGCTCACTGCAGCATCTGTAAAATGTTTTATTCCAGTCATGAACCACTTGGAAGGGCCGTGAAAAAAATAAAATAAAACTAGTGTAGTTTATTATGTCTTTAGATTTTTTTTTTCCAAAACTGACACACTCACCTGTTAAATCTCTTTAAATATGAGCAATGTTCAGTTCAAGTCTTCCCTCTAGTGGCCATCTGTTTAACTACACTAATGACTAAGTCAGTGTTTAACTATTGAAATTAAATGAAGGTTAATATGTGCAATCAGGGATTAACAATAACAAACACGAAATACAATTTCATTTGTGATTATATAGCACATGCTGCCACAGTAATTTTAAGAAATATTGAATCCAAAATAAGAAAAGAGGTTTGTCACATAGTAAATAAATATGAAAGGATTTTTTTTTTTGGTTAAGTTGTATTGGTGTGATTGGATTTTTAGGAACTGACTTGATCTGAACCTAGCAGGTTATTTTTAAAGCCACAGTAAAAAAAATGTGTTTGGCTGAAACATCTCTGTTTGATTATGATGGGTCTTTTACTGCAGAGAGACTATCAGAGTGCAGCTGACCCCAACTAACCTTGAGTTTTCTCCTCCGACAGACGATCACAGAGAAACGGCCGCCTGTGCCAAAGGCTGCTGTCGCTCCGGCTCGACCCGCCGCAGACAGACCTGCGACCGCAACACGCACCGCCGCCAGCGCTCCAGCAGCACGACGCCTGGGTCAGACGTGATGCATTTAAAGAGGAGCCATTGCATTTTGAGCTGATTTATGAAATGCTAGGAATATTCACATTATGCATTTCTATTTTTGTGTTTAGTCGCAAAGACAGAGAGCAAACCAGGAGACGAAAAGAAACCAAGCACACTGAAAACTACAGGTACAGCAAACACAAAACCACTTATAACACTATGTTGAAGGAAGTGAATATATATATATATATATATATATATATATAAAAAGCTTTTATTCAGTAAAAATTACTTTTATTCAGTATGTTTATTGATGGCTGCTGAAAATTCAGCTTTGCATCCCAGGAATAAATTACATTTTGAAATATATTCAAATAGTACACAATTATTTTAAATAATAATAATAATGTGTATGAACAATAAAAATATTTTTATTAAATTAATAAAAAAATATTTGTATTCCGTTAAAATTACTTTTATTCAGTATGTTTATTTGTGGCTGCTGAAAATTCAACTTTGCATCACAGGAATAAATTACATTTTATAATATATTCAAATAGAACAATTACTTTAAATTGTAATAATCATAAATAAATTAATAATTATAAGAATATATTAATGTGTGAGTATAAATTTAAAAAAATTATTTGATTAAGAATAAATATTTTTATTCAGTTTATTTATGGCTGCTGAAAATTCAGCTTTGCATCCCAGGAATAAAGTACATTTTAAAATATATTCAAATATTTAAAAGTTATTTTAAATTATAATAAGATTTCACAATATTGCTGTTTTTACTATGTTTTTAATCAAATGATCACAACTTTGGTGTGCATAAGACACTTCTAAAACTATAAAAATCCTAATTATTCCAAACTTTTGAAAGGTAATGTACGTAGAAAAATTTAAAAATTCAGTGTAGTGACTTAATAGCAACAAGTAAAAGATATTTTTAGAGATGCTGCGCTGACAGACACACATTTAAATCCGGAAGTGAATTGCGCAGCAGGAATGAGTTTGGGATAATCTCTCACACGGAGCTCCGCTGGTCGACCGCCGCGCTGCTTCTTACCCCCGTTTCCAGAGCTTTAAACCGAACGCAGCGGTGCAGAGAGATTATCTTAATCTGACACATAAAGAGGGTTTTGTGCTATGAACTGAACATTCAGATATCGCTCAAACACACACCATTTCTAAAGGTTTTGGCATGTATTTCCCTTAAAGGGATAGTCCACCCAAAAATGCTGTCATTAATTACTCGCCCTCATGTCGTTCCAAACCTGTAAGACCTTCGTTCATCTTTAGGACAAAAAAGGAAGATATTTCTGATGCATTCCGAGAGCTCTCTGACCCTCCCATAGACAGAAAGAATCCCATGCGAGAATCACGTACGTAAACGACGCTGTTCTGTGTCAGCTGCGCCATGCGGATACGCTGTTTACGTTGTTTACGCTTTGATCTGAACGTAAACAATGTATCAGCGTACATACGTTTCATACATTGTTTACGTATGCGATACTTTCCAAAATGGCGCTACGGTGGAGAGACAAAATTGTCAAATAAAGTTGTTATTTTTGTTTTCTTTGCGCACAAAAAGTATTCTCGTAGCTTCGTAAAGTTACGGTTGAACCACTGATATCACATGGATTATTTTAAAGTGCCCCTATTATAGGTTATGAAAGGTTCATATTTTGGTTTTGGGAGTCCCCAACAACAGGTCGACATGCATGCAAGCTCAAAAAACACTTTAGTTGTCTTAAAATATGCATTTATGTTTACATTACTTGCTCAACGACTCCCAAACGATTCGCTCAATGATTCATTTTTCCAAACCCCTGCTTTGCGTGACGCTAATCTGCTGTGATTGGTCGATTGGATCTCGCCTGTAATGCCTGATAAAGCAGTGTTTGTGAGCGCAGTGCTGCTTTGTGTACAGCGATACCGGGGAAACTGCTATTTTACCGCTCCAAAAGCGGCAGCTAGTGGCAAAGAATGAATTTGCATTTTCATTCAAACCAACCGAAAAGACCAACAAGTGGGCGGGCAATATGCCAATGTTTCATGTTGACTTGTTTAAATGATTCAGAGTCGACTCATTCTATTGAGAGACAATAACTTTATACACGGTGCACTTTCAGATTTAAAACTTTGCAGGATGTTTTCATTCACTTAGATCTGTTGCACACTGCATAAAAGGTCATTTTCAAAAATCCATAATAGGGGCACTTTAAGATGTCCTTGCTATGTTTCTGAGCCTTGATCGCGTTAGGATCCTTGCTGTCTGTGGGAGGGTCAGAGAACTCTCGGAATGCATCAGAAATATCTTAATTTGTGTTCCGAAGATGAACGAAGGTCTTACAGGTTTGGAACGACATGAGGGTGAGTAATTAATGACAGAATTTTCATTTGTGGGTGAACTATCCCTTTAACTTTCTATGGAAGTGTTTCAGAGTTCAACTACAGCCCAAACAAGTGTTTCTCTCAAACATAGTTAAGGTAACCTGACGTCTGTGGTTTCAGATGCCGCCCGCTCTAAACCTGCTCCTCTCAAAGCCTCCACCACTACAAGCAGCAGCATCGCCGCTCGCCCTCGCACCACCAAAACACCCCTCTCTAGCAGCACTACAGCCGCTGCTGCGCCCGAGAAGAAGCCGGCGGTGCCCCGCGCACCTCGACCCAGCTCCAGCTCCACCTCCAGCGCCAGCGCAATGACTCGCAGCACAGCGCGGCCCAGCTCCACACCGGCACCCGACATCAAAAACATCCGCTCCAAGATCGGCTCCACAGACAACATCAAGCACCAGCCGGGAGGAGGAAAGGTAACCGCATGCATGCGCCCTTCATAGTGGACGAGACTGAGAACAGCAGTTAGCTGTAAATGTGATAGCTGGTTAGTAGTCTGTCCTCTAGCTTTGCAGTGTTTTCCTATTTAGTAGTATATGGGTCAAAGACGTTAAGATGTCCGCATCAAAAGAAATGTACAAAAGTGATTTTATGTCCATAGAAAGCACATTAAATGTAAATAAAGTGTCTACTTTTAAGGTTTCAAATACGTTTTTGGAGAATAAAATGTCAAAATTTGTCATTCAGTGTAACACAATATGCTTACAACATGCTTATTCTGACGTGTACATATTAAAATATATAAAAGAATAAGGGTGTTAAATTTGATGTTAAATGTTAAATTTGATTGTGTTTTAAATGAGTAAAAAATTCTTAGGATAGTGGCAAATTTTAAAAATGTAAAATTACGACTAATTAGTATTTGGGGTGAAAGTAATTAAGTATTTTAATATGTCATAAATTGATTTGTTGTAAATATGCCTGACGAGATTGTTACACTGAATGACATTTTAGTGGCTGTCTTCTGTAAATCAGGGGAAAATGTATGATATTTATTTTTTGCTCAGAAAAACAAAAACAAAATTGCAATTAAATTAAACTGAAAACTTTTTTTTAAATTTTTTTGTGAAAAACAACAACAATTTAAAGCAGTATTACACTTAATGTTTTTATACTTAAACCCTTTTTCGTCTTTGACCCATATATATGTTGCACACTTAGGAAAAAAAGTACAGTGATGATGCTTTGCCGTTTTATTTATTATATTTACTATTTACATACTATTGTACTATTTGATCATATATATTTTTTTTTTATTTTCAGTTTTCATTTTAATTTTTGTTTCAGAAATTTGATGTGCTTTTTTTTTTCTTTTTCATTGGTTTTATAATTCCGTTTAGCTTTAATTTATTTTTATTTCAGTTTCTCCTTTTAGTAATTTCAGTCATTTTTATTACGACAGCAGTTTCTCTTTTGCAGAATGTGCCGCTGTCTTCTGAAACAGCATTATTTAAACAGACTTAAGTCTTTCTTGCATGACGGTAACTGCGTCCGAAACCTGAGAAATTGTGACGTTACAGGCAGCATCCAGACGCATCAGAGCAAATCTTCTTTAATATTATTATTATTAATATGAATAAAATATTCATGTATCCTTTTTATATATTCAAATATAATATGTAGATATTATATAGAATTATTAAATAATTATAAAACAAGTAATAATGTAATATATGCAATATATGTAATTGTTTTACTATATAAAATGTATTTTTATATATTTTTGAAATATATCATTTATTGTAATTTAAATAGTGTATATATAATTAATAAACAATAATATCTTAATCATATGTTAACATCATGTAATTATTAATTAATAAATATCCTTTTTTCAGCTTTTAATTGCATTTCTGTAGAAAAATAAGCACATCAATCATTAAATATTCTCTGTATACTACAACGCTGCCTTGTGAAGTCACTGCCTTTGGTTTTGGACACAGCTCTTCTGTCCTTATTTTTCTATCTATCTGTCCTGTTTTCCAGTCTAATGTGATAATGAGTGAAAAGCAGCATGATTCACATGCCTTTAGAGTGTCTATTCTGCTCATGTTGACATCTATATTAGCCTTTTGATATGTAAACTAGCTCCAGTCTTCATAATCATTATTCATCACTCACGTCCTGAAGTCACCGCTTCACTTTCTGGTATTGCATCCCTCCTCTCGTGTTTGTGGTTCATCCTGGTCTTTTTCCTGGCTGAGCTCTTTCGGTATGACTCTCTAACACTCTCCTGTTCCCGAGGAACGTCTCCTGTCACCACTAAGAGCTCATGAGCGTCGTCTTGTATAAGTGAGGTTTTAAAGCGAGCTCACAGTTGTGTGTTTGGAGCATGAAGACGAATCTTGCATGACTGGAGTTTGTCCACGTGAGACTGTCACGCTGCACTGAAGAGCGTTACTCACCGCCCCTGTTCCTGCCTCTTCCTCTGATCCTAAAGCTTTCCTGCTTCTCATATGAGGTTACAGTAGGTTTTAGCTTTTTCAATAAAATCGAATTAATTAATAATAATAGCAATATAATAAGAATATAGATGTGTGATTGTATTGCTCATTTTCTCAGCAGATATTGATATCAGATGGAAAAAAACACATTGTTCAGCTAGTAATCTTTCCGTCTTTCCTTCTGGAGATCTTTGGGTGCTTACATTGGGTTTTTAATCATCCAGTCATTGTTTATCATATGTTAGGGCTGCACGTTTATGACAAAAATCATAATTGTCAATTATTCCCTTGAAATTGTAATTGCGATTATTAATTCCGATGCAACTGCATGCCGTATTTTTATATGAAAATAAACAAGCTGAAAACACTCTATCTGAAAAACCTTTAGTGCTTTTCTATAGTGTTAAGCCTCAGAAGTGAGGGCTTGTTCTGTCTGCAGGTCTCAGTGTCTCAGAGCTCGCCCTCCAAAGAGACCAGCCAGGGCAAAGTGAGTTCATCAGCTCATCACACTCACCTCTGCACATCTCTGTCTAACTCCCCTTCTCTTCTCAATATAGCCCACACAGATCTGACATTACAGTGTGTGTCTTCAGTTGTAGCGTGATAGACTGAGAACGGTTAAATTAAATATTATATGGAGTTTATTTGCAAAAACGGATAACTCCAAAAATCATGTTTTTTTATGATGTTATGTTTTTCATTGTTTTATTGTGTTAGTTAGATGTATTTGTAGTTGTTTTTACTTCATTAAAATAACCCAACTGCAGTTTGATTGAAATTAATTGAATTAAAGCGTCAAATTAATTTTTGAAAGTTGTTAAAAACAGAGCTATGTTTTTGCAAATGAACTCTTCATATATATATATAGTTAAAGAAATATGTCAGATAATATTAGTGTAATATTTTCATATGAAAATGTTTTAACATATTTTAAATATTAAAATGCGTTTTTATTTTTTATATTTAATTTTTTAATAATTTATATGAATTAATTGAATAAAGTTGTGTGTATGTATTTTTGTGTATAATATATATTTTTGTGTTTTTATGATATTATATATTTTAATAGTATATATTTAATATGTTAATATGCCAAATATTTATTACATATTTCATTAATTATTATAATTAATAATATATACTTAATAAACCTAAAATACACACATTTCTCTTATATAGTGTTACTGTGTTATTGTTATTAAAATTGTATTACTTTGATTCATCTCAAATTTTAGTACTATAATACAAAATAAATGATAGAAAATATACTTAAGTATAAATTATTGAGTTATTTATAATGTTCATTAATATTTTATACAATAATGTTTTCATGATTTATATATAATTATGTTTTTCAATAAAATCGAATTAATTAATAATAATAGCAATATAATAAGAATATAGATGTGTGATTGTATTGCTCATTTTCTCAGCAGATATTGATATCAGATGGAAAAAAACACATTGTTCAGCTAGTAATCTTTCCGTCTTTCCTTCTGGAGATCTTTGGGTGCTTACATTGGGTTTTTAATCATCCAGTCATTGTTTATCATATGTTAGGGCTGCACGTTTATGACAAAAATCATAATTGTCAATTATTCCCTTGAAATTGTAATTGCGATTATTAATTCCGATGCAACTGCATGCCGTATTTTTATATGAAAATAAACAAGCTGAAAACACTCTATCTGAAAAACCTTTAGTGCTTTTCTATAGTGTTAAGCCTCAGAAGTCAAATATACATCGGGTTGGTTTCTTCTTTAAATTATAAAAAAGTTAAAATATGAATGATATTATAATGTTATACTAAAACAATGGAGAAACCCTTAAGATAACATGTAGGAAGAAAAAAACATATCTTAAGCGTGCAGAATAACATAAGTGAATGATTAATTGCCGCTTTGAACGATTACGTAAATGTGGCATCCATAATTGTAATCGCAATTAGAAATTAAATTAATTGTGTTGGTTTCTTCTTTAAATTATAAAAAAGTAAAAATATGAATGATATTATAATGTTATATTAAAACTAAAACAATGGAAAAACCCTTAAGATAACATTTAGGAAGAAAAAAACATATCTTAAGCGTGCAGAATAACATAAGTGAATGATTAATTGCCGCTTTGAACGATTACGTAATTGTGGCATCCATAATTGTAATCGCGATTAGAAATTCGATTCATTGTGCAGCCCTAATCATATAGCGTTTGGCTCTTGCACCTCATTATTCAATGCTGTGCATCACATTATACACCACAGCCGGGATGCTCAAATTGCACAGTTTGGGTAGCACTTAAGAAAATGCTGGCTGTAAATAAAATTATAATATTGCTTAACCCTTGTTGGTTTTAAAATGTGCAGCAGTGAACAATCACCAAAGTAATGGCATTGCATTATTCATAGACATTTTTTGGTGACAGTTCACTGAACTCAGTATCCCTGCATCACAAAGTCCATTAGTAGCTCACCAACCAGATACTCATCAACCACTCATCAGTCATTTCTGTTTTGTATCAGTTTCATTCACTTAACTGGTGATTTTTATTCGCTAAGTTTACAAACGAGAGGAAACAGTGTATTTAAGAGCCCTAATGGTGTTCACACTAACAATCAGCAGGGTGTCTTCATGTGTCTAGCTGCTTTCAGATGCTTCTGCTTGTGTCCTCTGTTGTCTTCCCTCTCTAACCTGAACCTCCCTGGTGTCCCGTCCCTCCCGGCCCGCCGTGCTGTGTTGTAGGTTCAGATAGTCTCCAAAAAACTGGACTACAGTCACGTGACTTCTCGCTTGGGCTCCAAGGACAATATGAAACATGTTCCTGGTGGAGGGAACGTAAGTAACGTTACTGCATGCGGTGTAGCCGTCGTTCAGACAAACACAGTCACTGTGCCACACGATGCGCTCAGACCCAACAATGAGACGCTTTCTTCACTTAAGAGCTGGGAGAAACGCTGCCAAATCCAATGTTGCTGAGCTGCATTTTCCAAAACAGCGTTCCAAAGCAAATCATGGTGACAGCAGAGGTTTGCATTCTGGACGTTTGTTCATAATCTTCACTCACACTAACTGAAATCTGCTGTGATGCTCTCTGAAATCAGAGTTTTTAGAGATGTTTTTTATCACCTTCAAGGTTCAAGCACTGCTTGCGATGTCTTTTATTTTAGCAGTGGAGCTTCGATTTGAGCAGCTTCATCAGATGATTGTGTGTTCACAGGTCCAGATTCTCAACAAGAAGGTTGACTTGAGTAAAGTGGCTTCAAAGTGTGGCTCCAAGGCCAACATCAAACATAAACCAGGTATGATGAAACCGTAAATAGTCATTTAAATGGCTTTAAAGGGATAGTTCACCCAAAAATTAAAATGTGATGTTTATCTGCTCACCCCCAGGGCATCCAAGATGTAGGTGACTTTGTTTCTTCAGTAGAACACATTTGATGATTTGTAACTTTAACCGTTGCAGTCTGTCAGTCGTATAATGCATGGCAATGGTAACAAAATCTATGAGAGTAAAAAAAACATGCACAGACAAATCCAAATTAACCCCTGCGGCTCGTGACGACACATTGATGTCCTAAGACACGAAACGATCGGTTTGTGCGAGAAACCGAACAGTATTTATATCATATTTTACCTCTAATACACCACTATGTCCAACAGTCTCTGAGCGCGCACACGGCGTCCGGTGCGTGAGGTGTGTACGCGCTCTGGCGTAGTTTACATAAATACTGTTCGGTTTCTCGCACAAACCGATCGTTTCGTGTCTTAGGACATCAACGTGTCGTCACGAGCCGCAGGGTTTAATTTGGATTTGTCCGTGCATGTTTTTTTACTCTCATAGATTTTGTTAACATTGCCATGCATTATACGACTGACAGACTGCAACGGTTAAAGTTAAAAATCATCCTTTGTGTTCTACTGAAGAAACAAAGTCACGTACATCTTGGATGCTCTGGGTGTAAGCAGATAAACATCACATTTTCATTTTTGGGTGAACTATCCCTTTAAAGCTTTCAGTTCCGTCTCAGTGGCTGTCATCTCCGCTTTTAGACCATTGGGTTTGTGTGTTTTTCTGTAGGTGGAGGCGAAGTCAAGATCGAGAGCCGTAAGGTGAACTTTAAGGATAAAGCTCAGCCCAAGGTGGGCTCAATGGATAATGTCAATCATGAACCTGGAGGCGGGAACGTTACGGTGAGTTTGGCAGAAGATCAGTTGCACAAACCTCTGAGATGTTATAGAAGCCAAGTCGTACTTTATTCTACATTTAGACAATTCAGACATTTGAATTAAATATTTGAAGTTGTTTAGTGTTTAAAGGAATAATTCACCCAAGTATCTGTAACACTGCCCTGCATCATATCTGCTGAGTGAAATCCAATATTTGGTTCTTACTGAAAAAAAAAAACAGTCTTTTGTTTGAGCACATCACACTTTATCACTAAATACGATGCGTTTCATAGCGTTTTTGCTTTAGAAGAGCATCTGTGCGGTAAGAGGTCTTGAATTACATCTTAATCAGCAGAAACACATGATTCCTGTCTGAATCTGAGCCACATGACAACTATTCGTTCAGTTCTTCTCCGCACATTTTCACATGTATGAATCATTCTCAAGACGTGTTGTTATGCAAAATCCTAATTTACACTTTCCTCTCCTTTGCAGATTCTAATTTAAATGATGCATTTTGAATATTATTATTATTATTTTCAAATCAGCAGTATACAGGGCTGTGTTATTGATCATGTTGTGTGAAAACGCTCCTGATTTCTGTACGGTATAAAAGGGGATGTTTAAAAGAGGACTTTGAGGAGGCTTAGCTATCTTTAATATATATAAGTCAGTTGTTTATTCTCGGTGAAATGTTCCTTTAAAAGCTGTTTTATTTTAAATCTGGTGAGTTATATTACACTTGCATGGAAAGTTTAAAACATGCTGATGTGATTTTATTTTATTTTTTTCATGCTTTTGTGTTTTAAGTTCATGTGTTTTTACAGTTTTCACATGACCACTTGCTCCGCCCATTATTATTTTGCACCCATCCACTCTGAACACACATTTGTGATTATGATCACACTGATACTGTTTTTAAACTTTAACATACGTTTACTGAGACTTTCGGAAACAGCGTGAGTTTTTGGACTTTTTGCTACATCTGTAATAAATATTAAACAGGTTTAAATTAAGCACGTTTAACAGAATAATGCTGCAGTTTACATTGCAGTGTGAACTGCAAGTTTTATTTTGGATGAAAACTTCTGTTTTATGTGAACATCTGTTCATCATAGTTTTAAGTCTTTGTTGACAATTTTAGAATTATTGAAAAGTTTTAATAAGTTTTATTACATTTTAATAATTTAAGTTTAAGTACATATGATTGGCATGCGTCTCCGTTTGCATGGATTTCTATTCATTGCCATTCGTCTTCGGAATTTTAAGGTGAAAAGTTGAATTTGAAGATTTAGAATTCCGTTCCACATGATAGTTGATTATTTTCTATATGTATGAAATTTAGTCATTTCTGTCATGATTTTTGATTGTAAAGTTTTGCTTTGTTCACTGTACAGATATACCGTACCAGTGTAGAGTTTCATTTTATAATAAAAAAAGTAATGTAGTGATCAAAATATAAAACAAATAAATAAATATGGGGAGAAAAAATATATATATATATATTTTTTTTTTTTTTTTCAGACACTAGATATAAATGTTTGATATTTTTTTTCTAGTGTGTTCAGGACACTATAGTTCATTTATGTAAGTGAGGATAGCAAAATAAAGTAAACGGTGATATATTATACTCAAATATATTTCATACAGTGGACTACCAGTAAAACTGATTAAAAAATCTGGGACCAAAAATCATTCAGACACTTTGATCTGACCATATTTTGTTACATACCTTTCTATCAAAGCTATCTGACATCAAGATGAATTTGCTCTGACACAGTTTAACTCGGTTCTTGTCATATTTTAATACCATTTTCTAAACTATTGCAAATAAACTGTGATAATGTGAGAAATGTTGAAAGTGTCTGAATAAATTTTTGTTTGACTGTGTGTGTGTGTGTGTGTGTGTGTATATATATATATATATTATTACATTTATACATTTAAATATGAATGATATTATTATTATTATTAAGTTTAGTTTAGTTTTAAACCTTTGGAAAACTTTGGATTATCAAACAGGAATTGAGTCCAGTATGTCTAAACTGGTTCTGTGTATCAGCCATATTCCTTCACCATGCAAGGATTGATTTATATTGTGTTCAAGCGTCCCCCTCCGTCTCCCCCTCATCTCTGGTGTTGACGGCCTGCTGTGTGTTTCTAGGCTGAGGGGGCGCAGGAGACTGCTGAGGGCAGCGCGGCTCCCTCTAGTGGTGTCTCTGCCACCCAGCCGTCAGCCGGCGCTGCCCAGGAGAATGGGCTGAAGGAGGCCGGCCCCTGCAGGAGTGAGGAGCTCCGGGACCCGCAGGGCCTGGACTCGCTCATCCCTGAAACAAGTAAGTTTGTGTGTAACCCGGCCCGAGAAACCCGAAAAGACTGACCCCGTCAGACTAGAGGTCCTTTAGAACTGAAGACTCTCATTCACCACATTCACATTCCATTCCTCACATTTACTGCTAAATATTATTGGTTTCTACTTCATTTCATACACACTATTACTTTGTGGCTTTTTTTTTCTTTAGCTCTTAATTTTATGCTGCGTGTGAATTGTTTGTTATTCTGTTGTCTGGTTTACCGCTGTACAAGAGGTGGGGGGGGGGGGTCTTACTGATTAATTTGTCTGATTTTATTATCAAAATATTGAATAAAACACTGAATGTAACATTTTATTTTTTGTTTTAAGTTAAGAGCAAAATATTGAAAGTAAAATCTAATTATGGGAATTAAAACATTGAATATAACAGTTTTGAGTAAATTCAAAATGTTAAATAAAAACATTAAATGTAACATTTGAGGTAAAATCAAAATGTTAAATAAAAACATTGAATGTAGCATTTACATTTTTTAAGTAAAATCAAACCATTAAATTAAAACATTGAATATAAAATGTTTAGAGTAAATTTAAAAAAAAATTTAAAGTAACATTTTATCAAGATTATTAAGATCAAAATCTTCAATAAATTTTAATAGACATTTTATCTTTTTAATTGCGCCAAAATATTAAATAAAAACATTGAATGTAACTTTTTTTTAATTTTATTTTTTTAAGTAAAATCTAAATATTGAATAAATACATTGAATGTAACATTACATTTTTTTTTAAGTAAAATCAAAATATTAAATCCTAGGACATTGATATAAAATTTTGAAATCAAAATATTGAATAAAACATGGAGTATGAATTTTATTTTTTAAGTAAAATCTAAATATTAAATACAAGACACTGAATACAAAGTTTTATCATGTAAAATCTAAATATTAAATGAAAAATTGAATATGACATTTCATTTATTTTTTAAATAAAATCAAAATATTGAATAAAAAATGAATAATTTTTTAGGTTTGTTTAAAACAAATTGAATGTTTCACTTTAGTTATAGTACAATTAGTCTGTTATTGGTGCAGATGAATTAATCGGTCGACCTCTGCGCTGGACAGATGTTTTTAAAGCACAGTTTTCTGATCTCCAAACTGTTTTGACCTCTTCTTATTTTTCAGGCATCTAACTCGACTTTTGCTGTCACTCTGCCCTTTTCATTTCACCCCCGACCTCTTCCTCTCCTCCCCTTGTTTATGTCCTGTCTTTCTCCACACTCTGATGCAGATTGAGTCTTTCAAGCTAAATTTCCGCGAGAACGCCTGCTCTCGCACGGACCACGGCGCAGACATCATCACCTGGCCCGTCTCGGGTGACAGCCCTGTCCACTCCCACCTGCTCCGCAGCAGCGTCTTGCTCAACGACTCCCCCGCGACCTCTCACACCACCCCGGCCCTCCTCTCCTCCCAGGAACAAGGGGGCGACGTCGGCTCGCTCACCGGACTCCGGATGTGATTTCTATCTTCTCATTGGTCCGCTGCTTTCTAAACCCCGCCTCCTTCATTGCTAAGACTCACATGATTGGTGTGCTCTCTGTTGACGGTTCTGCTCGGTGAGGCTGTACAGATTACAGTCATCAGGATGTGCAAAACATGTGCTCAGTTGGAGCGAAATCTGTAAACTCTGAGGTCACACTGTAACATGGCTAAACTCACGCTACTCACACCTAGAAATCAGCACACCTGCTACATCACTTGTTGTAGAGCATGAATCTAGTATTCATAATCAAACCTGCACATACCCATCTGATCACCACATGCAAACACATCTGGATCCATCTGGACATCATCTCTCGCTGCCTTCAAGTCCTCATGGGAAGTTTGTGCTTACGAGTTATTTACCATGCGATCGTGTCATATGAAAAATCGCTTTCTGACAAAATTGAGCTTTTTTTTGTGCCAAAGCAACAAAATTAAGAGCAAAGGATGTGCATTAAAGGGATAGTTCACCTAAAAATAAAAATTCTGTCATTAATTACTCCCCCTCATGTCGTTCCAAACCCGTAAGACCTGCGTTCATCTTCAGAACACAAATTAAGATATTTCTGATGAAATCTGAGAGCTCTCTGACCGTCCCATAGACAGCAAGGGTACTACCACGATCCTTTTTTAAAATATATATAGTGTAGAAACCATTTCCACTCAGAAATTGCTTGTAAGTTTCACAATTACATTCACCGCATTAATTAAACATGCAGTTTTAACCTCTTAACTGTCACTCGTCCCCTCTGTGGGAAGTTTACTTCACTATATTACAATTAAATCCTAATCTAATCATGACAAACTATAACTGTTGGAGGTCTAAGACTCCTAAATAGATATTTACCACTTTTTTTTGTTAAATTATGTAGGAAAAGTAATGGATTGTGCACCTCAAAAATCTACGTCATAACAGGAGTTCTGAACATTGTCACAAAAAAGTCTTCTTCGTTGCATCACACTTTAGAAATCATCAGAAATTATATAGCAATTGAAAACTTCAAATCTCAAAATTCATCCTTTGAAACCCATTTAAAAATCAGACGTTACCATGAAAACGGTACATCAAAATCATGTTACAAAATGTTTTCACTCATGAATTATAAAAATGTAAGTTTGGATCGTGCACTTTCACGTCTATTTTCAAAAATGTGAGTGACAGTTAAGGGGTTAAACAGTAGAAAAACAAAAATGTTCTTGTAACATATACAGTTTTATTTACTACTACAAAACATAATTTTTACAGTGGGGTGTTTAAAAACATAATTCAACGTTTAATGTATTCAACATGTAAAAAAAAATGCAATTCTACAGGTTTTTTTTTTTTTTTTTTGCAGCTAAGAGGTCATGCCATGATCTTTTATTGGTTGCATGTCTTCACGTCATACATCTTCGCAGAGCTTACCAAACTTTGATAAGCTTGCTTTTCCTGTCTCCACGTCCGCATGCGTATAAATGGAAGTCAATTAAACGTGTAGTGCGAACATCCCTTTATGCCTAAACAAGTATTTTCTGAAACATTTCCACTTAAAATGGCTAACTTGGAAAGTCTAGATTTTGTAAGCACGATCATTCCCGCTTGATTTGAAGGCAGCTTCATTCAGCATGCAGGGCTGTCGTGTGACCCTCGCTCACCTCACCCTTGACCTCCAGTAGAGCTGACTTTGAAGCACATAGGCTTTCTGAATCTCTCTAAAACTATTCGTGATGTGTGTGTGTTTGAGTGAATACTGTAGCAATGAACTGTGTTGTTAAACGCTTTCTTTTGACTCTGTTTTATTTTCGTGACCAGCGGATGTTTCCTTTTCCTCGTTATTGTAAAGCAATATAACGTCTCCTACAATGCCTATAAGACATGAAGCTCCGCGTAAACGCACAGCAAACAGCTCCAGACGGCTTCGTGAACGTGAAGAGGGTCTGAGGTGAACGTGTTTCCTTGTGGAAAAAGAAGTGCGCTTGTAGTGTACCTCAAATCTTAAAAGCACATTTAATATATTGATTATAGTATAATATAACTGAAGTAAAAGGCCACTTAAGTGTATTTAAAGTATGCTTTCATAACTACATACATAAACACACTTTGCTATAATCTGAAATTAAGTTTTACGTTACATTTTGAGTCATTATTTTAATCATCTTTAAAGAAGTACACTTATTTTGATGTGCTGACTAACATACTAAAGCACATGTAGAATACTTAATTATTAACATTTGATTTAATTGTTACGTGTGCTGAAATATTTCGGTTTAATTTATTTTACTAAACTACAACTTCATTACAAATTTGTATTTAAAAAAAATATTTAAATACATGACCTACAAGTTTCAACAGAAATGACATTAAACTATTTTGTAGTTTTACGTACGTTTACACTTTAACCATCAAAGAGAAAATAATGATGAAATTGCATGTCAAGATGTAATTAAGTCCTACTTAAGTGGGTCAAAAAAAGCATTCCTAAGTTCAGCTTATTGCATTTAATTTCATTTACCATGCAATTAAGTGTCTGAAAACATTACGTTCAATTAACACAAGTATATTCTTTCAAAGTGTATGATTTCCCTAATACTCTTTTTAAAAGTATGCTAAAGTGTGCTTCTTTTTCACAAGGTGAAGGAAGTAGATGTTGACTTGATGCACGAGGGGTTTCTGTTAGCAATGAATGGTTGATGTTTTGGCATCATGTACAGTAGGTACAGTATGTTTTTAATGTGGAAGTGAGGGTCAAGTTTGTGCCTGGTACCGATCGCATCCTGCCTTTGGAGGGACGCAGAGACAGAATATCACGGCCTGAAACCTTTTACGTACTTTTAATAGTTGCTTATGAGAAATTGTGAGTGAGTCTGGTGGTGCTTTGAATTCTTCTCTTATTGCATACATTTCTGCAGGTCTTTATTTAGAGTAAAAGCTTCGCATTATAGTGTGATCGTGTGAGTGGAAAGGATCCTGCGGGGTTTTAACGGTGGAGCCTGTAGCTTATTTCCTCTTGTAGCATTTTCTGATATACGGTAGTTTAGCCTTTTTGAGGTCGCACAGACTCACACGCTTGACATGTAGCCGCTTGGTTTAGTGTCCTTTTGGTGTAATAACAGGGTAAGAGGACGTGGCCCGCCCTTCTTTTTGTGTTATTTTCTTCATCAGCTGTGGGCGGAGGTCGGACAGACAATTTTTAGCACGCTTTTCTTTTTATGAGTATGACAAATTACTGTTGCATCTATTGCTTATTCTCATCAGACCTCTTTAATCCCAGAACATGCAAAGCAATAATACTGTCAATGTGACAGACCCCAGATTTGAACTTTTAGAAACCTACATCATGCATGACAGCGTAAAGCATTCAGATCATGAAATATTATGCGATTGATCGAAAAATTTACGAATGCATGTCCTTGTTAGAAAATCCCGTTTTTGAGAGGTAGCTTCGTTGAAATCAGGTTTAGATAACAAATACAAGTAGGACAGTGTAACTTCATTGTGTATTCTCATTTTTAAAGATTATTTAAATAATTCACCTAAAGGAATTGGTGGAAAATGCCAAAAAATGGTTGCATGAATTTACGAATTGATGATTTTGGGGCAATATTATTATTTATAGTCTTTTTTTTCTTTTTTTTTCCAGGAAATGAGAAGTGTGTAAATATTAGGCTAAAGTCTGAAGGTTTTTTTTGTTTGTTTAAGAACCTGTAGTCTTTAAGGACAGTAATAATGTTTAGCGGTGGTTTGTAGTGAAGAGGTCACATTTGAATCGGTTCCCTGTGCCTGAATGAACCCTGAGAACAATCCTACTATCATATATAGCCTCTTTACATGCATTTACAGTTGATTTCCCTGTGGTTTTACTGCGGTCTCTGTCTATGCATTTAATATTGGCATAAAAAAAGACATCTGCAATGTTCAAAGAAGCTGAAGGCTGATATTATGCACCTTTAACGGCTAATATTCATGCTATTATTGTCACTTTGGCCCTGCATTTTTTTCAATGGAAAAGGCAGAGAACAAATGTATTTAAACTATATTAAAGCACATGTATTTGGCCGCCGTGTGTTTAATGTTGTGGCGAGCTTGGTAGCGCTTATGCCCAGGTGGGTCACGTCCAGATATTTAGCCCATGTCCTCTTAACGTCTTCTAATAACTTCTAATAACCCTTTTTGTTTCTATGAATCTTAGTCTTACAGGAAAAAGATACTCGGAATAACACTGTCAAACTAAAATGAGGGGATTGCATTGAATGTGTTTCAATTGCACAGATTTTATTGTGCCATGAAGGACCAGGGCATCCTGTTGAAGCAGGGAGAGGAGAGGTCCAATTATTGTTATTAATATTATTATTACGGTTATGATTTTTTTTGTTTTGTTTTTCTTATTTGGGAGTAATCTGGGAGAGATATTGCCCTGGAGCCTAATTACACTCTTAAAGATGTACAACCCTAAAGTAACATGGAAACTAAAGAAACATGACATTAATGTGCAGTAGATTCGGTTTCTCGAGATGCAGTAAGAAGCTGTATGAGGTGATATGAACAGAACATTCAGGCGGCTTGCCAGACTCATCATTTGCAAGGTTTTTGTCGGTTTGTTTTTCTGGAGTTTTTCCATGAAAATTCAATTTCATTATATATTTTTTTGGTTTGAATGAGGTGTTTATTGTGGTTAATTGTTAACTATGATGTGATTATTAAACATTAAATAAAATAAAGTTTAAAACATTCTGTAGGTTGGGTTTGATCTTTACATATTAAAGCAAATGTGTCTTGTCTCCAGGATCATAAGTATTTATGTGCTTCACACAAAAAAAACATTTGTTTCTTTTATATTGCGATGTATTTTATTGACCATTTCAAGGAAGTAAAGTCAAACGCTTTGCGATGATACTGCGCATGTCTGGTCCTAAAGCATTTCCGGTGGCAGCATTTTTAAATCACAGACATGTCAAAACAAAATGACTTGCACATACTTTTTAAGTCTAGCTAAAACAGAACAGTTAAGATATAGAAAAAAAAAAAAAACTTAAGAATAGACGATGAAGTTGAATTACCCGACCCCTTAAATCAGACACTGAGGCGACAGCTTTTCACTAAACATTTACAAGAAATAACGTACCCAGATGTGTATCAATATCTGGCTAACGTGTCTTTATCTAATTAATATTCAATTCTAATTCATCACGTGTTGTTGGTTTTAGATAAAAGTAGATACTTGCCGATTAGTCAACATTTGAAGTGGATCAAACCCTTTCATCAAAGTTGTCCTAAAACCAAAATGCATCTGTCTTAGGCCAACTTTGATGAACTTTTTCGATCCACTTCAAATGTTTACTGCTGTAATCCCACTTTGTTTTAGATTGATCCAAAACCAGTGGCAGACATTGACTTTTCCAAACCTGTTAGACAAAGAGCAATTCAGAGTATCCATTGTAGTCACACCAGCCTCGCCAAGCAAGCTTTTTAAGTCCTTGAAGGTAAGGAAATCTTTGCAGAAACATGATAAATGACAATGTATGCGCAAAACATAAAATAT